CTTGAGGCAAGGGGAAGGGCTTGGACTTGCCTCTACTGGATGTGCCTCCCCATGGGAGGCCTTGCCTTCTTGTGGGGGTATGGGGGTGGGAGAGGGTTGGGAAGAGGGATACTGGGGGGGGAAGGGAAGAGGTGATCTTTGGTATGTAAAATGAATGAAAAAAATTCTTAATAAAAAAGAGAAGACTTTAAAACTCTGAAGAAACAAATTGTAGAAGATACTAGATGATGCAGACACCTCCAATGTACATGGATTTAATATAACAAATATCGTGAAAATCACCATCCTTCCAAAAGAAGTCTAGATATTCAACAGAATTCCCACTAATATTGCAATGCAATTCTTCATAGATTTTAAAAAGAAATGGTCTTAAAGTTTATAGGAAAGCAAACAGAACATGGATAGGAAAAATTATTTAAAAAATTAATTTTAAAATATAATAATCTGGGGAATTTTCGGTCACAATTTCAACTTCTCTATAACTTCCATTTTCCCCAAGGCTCAGAAACCACTTCAGAGGAAGGATTGAAAGATTTTAAGAGGCACACGTCAGGAAGAACCATAGCAAAACACTGTCTTCGGGACATGAGTCAGACTTCTGAAGTCATGAATTTATAGCATCTGTTTTTGCCTGCATAAGATCAAACCGCCAGATGGTGGTGGCGCACGCCTTTAATCCCAGCACTTGGGAGGCCAATGCAGGTGGATCTCTGTGAGTTTGAGGCCAGCCTGGTCTACAAAGTGAGTTCCAGGAAAGGTGCAAAGCTACACAGAGAAACCCTGTCCCAAAAAAACAAAAATTAAAAAATTAATTAATTAATTAATTAAAAAAACAAAAAAAATAAGATCAAACCAATAGATTATAACATGGAACAGCGGCATTCATGAACCCTCATCCCACACTGAAGAACCATTGACAGGTGATGTCTTCTGGACAAGGGGGTGGCAGCTTTCTTGAAGGTTGTAGCCTTTAGACCATTGACCTCAGTCCAGTGAATGGCTTCATAGCCATGAGTACAAGAGTAGCACAAACTAGACTTCAGTTATAAAACATAATACTAATGACAGAAAAAGAAGACACAAAGTTAGAGGGACCTGAAGGTGGAGGTGCATCTTGAAAGCATTAGAGAAAATAGGGGGGAGGGGGCAGATGATTAAATGTATTGCCTACATTTATAGAATTCTCAAAGGATTAATGAAAATGTTATATTTTAAACCTAGTATAGATGATCACTAAGAACTTGTTTTTTTTTTTTTTTTTGTTTTTTTTGTTTTTTTGTTTTTTTTTTTTTTGAGACAGGGTTTCTCTGCGTAGCTTTGCGCCTTTCCTGGAGCTTACTTGGTAGCCCAGGCTGGCCTCGAACTCACAGAGATCCACCTGGCTCTGCCTCCTAAAATTTAAATTTTTTAAAGATTTATTTATTTTATGTGTATGAATATTTTGCTTGCATGTATGTATGCGCATCACATATGTGCCTGGTGCTATTGGAAGTCAGAAGAGAGTGTCACATCATACAGGCAGGAGTTTGGGGTGGTTGAGAGCCACGGTGTAGATGCTGGGAACGGAACCAGGTCCTCTGAAAGAACAACAAGTACTCTTCACCACTGAACCATCTCTCCAGCCCCATCAGATTATTTTAAGAATAAATGTTACTTATTATTTATTATTATCAGTGCGTGTGTGTCATGGCACATGTGTGAAGATCAGAAGACAACTTTTGGAAGTTAGTTCTCTCCTTCCATGGTAGTACTACAGAGACTGAGTTCATGCCATCAGGCTTGTATGGAAAGCACATGTACCTGCTGGTCCATCTTTTGAGACAAGATTCCATGTAGCTCAGGCTGGTCTTGAACTCCTGATCTTCCTGTCTACATATCTCAAGTGTTAGGATCACAGGCCTATGCTATCATGCCCAGATACATCACCAGATAGTTAAAGAAGCTGCTGATGCTGGAAATATTGAAAATGGCTGGATGGAGGGCATGGGAGTACATGCCTGTAATCCCAGCACTTGGGAGACTGAGGCAGAGGATTTGTGAATTTGAGGCCCACTTTAGCTACACAATAAGTTCAAGGCAATGTGGATATGTGGTAAAACCCGGTCTCTCAAACCAAACCAAACCAAACCAAACCAAACCAAGTGAGATAGTGCTGATCTGTGCAAACTCTTTTGTATTTTGTCTTACTTATTCCCTATCCTAACCTTGTGGGGTGGGTGCTAAAAG